TTTTTATTTATTTAAAAATTATTCAAGTTAATTTAAAAATGATCATCAAATATAGGAAATATTATATGTAATTCAATTAAACTTCAATAAAAATGTACATAATTAAAAAAAATTCACAAGAAAAGAAATAAAATTAATTTATTTTTGTTTCCTTAAAAAAATAAAAACAACATTAAAAAAAATATCGCCAGACTCTATACAATCGTAATCTATTGGATTACTTATAGATTGCACTCTTAGTACTTATGTATATTGCTCACTTAGAATGACATACTGATGTCATCGTGTATTTCACAAGCCGACAAATTATTAATCTCAGGACACGTTATCGCGAATACCAGATGTGATGGAGGAATTCGGATTCAGCGCGGCTCAATGCTTTAGAAAATTGTAACTTGGTCTCAAAGTTTCGACTTTTTTTAAATGTTGTCGACCTGTGTTATCTACATATGTTGAAAATCCAAAAAAAAATTATCTTACACCTTCCATACAAAATTAAGTAACTTTTTGAATAACACTTCAGTATGTTCTACATATATTTGCTATCTGACACCAATTGAAGCGGTCATTTCGAAAAGGACACGAGTCACAAATTATTTTTATAACACCAAAAATTTTATTTCAAAATAACTGTTTATCAACTTTTTTGGTTTCCGTACATCTGTCACAGATTTTCACTGCATGCTTTAAATTTACATATTTCCCAATTAAATGGCAGGATGCAAGGTCATTATTTATACCCAAACCAGAAAACCTAGCTACGCACATATAAGTGCTATCGACCGATAAGCCTTACATCCTTCCTACTCAAATTCTTCGAACGGACAGTCGATACTATGGTTAAAAGCAGTATACCAGACAAAGACCTTAAATATAAGCAGCATGTTAAGTAAAGGGACGATCGATACAACCACGAAGTTGTCAACTACATAGATGAATCCTTCGTTAGCAAACTGTATACAATGGCGGTATGCATTGACATCGAAGGCACCTTCAATAACGTACACACTAATACTCTTATCCAATCCTTAGACCAGTTTTATGTTGAGAGGGTGCTCCGTAACTGGATCAACTACATGCTAAGGAACAGATGGATAAGATGCGAGATGTACGATATAACTATCAGGAAAATGTTATTTCGGAAAATCATATCAGGAAAATGGTATTTCGTGGGTTACCACCTAAGGATCCTAGCCGAAAGGACATAGACCTGACTGCTATTCAGACGATGTTGTAATACTTCTAAGGAGAAAATATCCAAATTACTTATGTAGAAGAGCTAAGGAGGCTCTGAATATGGCCTTGAGATTCGCTCAACCTCAATGTTAACACGGAAATCTGTCCTTTCACGAGGAAGACAAATATTTATAGAGGATAGGATCAAGGGGGCACATCGGTGCTGGGCGATATGTAGGAGACATATACTCAAGAAATGGGGTCTTAGTCCTTTTATGACACATTGGCTTTATAAAAGTGTAATTAGACCACTTTTAGCTTATGCATAAATAATCTGGTGGACTTCTTCGGAAAAAAGTGTAATATCAAACTACTACTGGGAGTTCAGCGCACATGCTGCTGGGGTTTAAGTGGTGCCATAAGTACTAAGTCAACAAATGATCTGAAAGCGTTGCTAGATATTCCACCCATTGAAACATATTTAAGATATGAGGAATGGATCATAACTTTAGACGAACTGGCCATAAGCGGTTATAGGGCACATTATCAAAGTATTCTGGATACATTGGAAGGCTATAACAATCATCGGACATGTCTGATCGCATGCCAGACACAGAATGTGTCTGAAACTTTGAAACACTGATCCCTGATAGAATGTCTTGGTCAAGCGGAACATTACAGCCAATACCCGTAGGAATCCGTTGTTACACGGATGGCTCTAAAGTGGGAAACGGTGGGTAGAACCACAAAAATCCTAAGGTGTGAACCTAATGAGAGCAAGAGTAGAAGCCTTCCCAAAATGAACAGGTCTGAGGTTAGTATGATGGTACGTACTCCGACTGGACACACTGGATTACGGGCACAGTTATTCAAAATTGGACGTGTAGATTCAGACGAATGTAGAGCATGTGGTGAGGACAGTAAAACTCTGGAGCACTTCCTTTGTCGCTATCAGGCATTCGTCGAAGTTAGATCCAAATATCTTGGGAGCGATATTATTCCGGATATAACATTCCTTACGAACACTGATTGGAAAATTATTAGGAACTATGTCCAGAAAACTAAGTTTCTGAACATTGAAATATAATATATTCAGTTAACACAATGTTTATTTTTACCAACAAACATTTTTTCTTCCATGAAAAGGAGCGCCCAACAGGCCCCATAGTCTCAGGTGTATCTCTTCAGATTTGATGTAATATACATCATCCTATCAACCGAACCTAACTTCTATGTTTAACTTTTTTTAGGACCATCGATTTTCTTTTAAACCAAACGCATTTTTTCTTCTAAAATTTTCGTATAGAAGAACCTTTTCGAAATTACTGCTTCAATTGTAGATGCAACTAATCCGAAGCCGGTATTCAATACCTTACATTTGCACAGCGATGACCTAGGCCATACGATAGGTTCAACAAAAAAATTTCCCATGGTGGCTGGGAATCGAAAGGTAGTTACATCATATTTAATAATAAGGATAGTTTTATTCTACAACCACCTTTTTCAGATTAGTCCAATTCTATATGATGAAAATCCCACCTACAACTCGCTCCTTTTTTTTGAAACATCCATGTGTACGGATGTACTTTCATAGATAGTAAAACCGAAATTTCTCGAGAAAACGGATTTGGGAGTACAGTAATCGATATTATCTGGAAGACTAGATATCTTCTCTTACTTAATAGTTTGTTTGTTCATACGTCTATTGCATTCAATCTGAAAGCACTGCATAGTGAAATTTTTTGACCAACAAGTCAGTTGGAATTCAGTTTAGCAATGCAAATAGAGATTAAATGGATGTTGTTCTAAGTAATGTTCTAAAATTCGAACTAATTGAACAAATTTGAAAGCCGATAAAAACAGTTCCTTTGGACCGAAATGGTAGAAATTTGACAGTCTTAAGTACACTTGATGACAGAATTTTCGAACATAATAATATGTTCGAAAATTCGAAGTGATATTCGAAAAATGTCAAGTTTAATAATATTATTACTCGATGTAATGACTTGATTTAAAACACACAAACAAATTCTCATTACTTATATCGTTTTAATTGCGTATCGCTTAACACTACTATACTAAGTTTAAAATTTAAATATATTACTCTATTCATTCATAAAATAATGAGTAAAAGTTCCATTAGTTTATTAAATATTAAAAACTAAATATAAAGCAAGAATTTCACATCACTTCTGGAATCTTCAGATGAAAACTAGAATCCATCAACGTTTCACCAACAACATAAAATCTTATGGGAACAAGTTAAAACTTAAATAAATATTTGTTTTTTGTAAATTTAATTTACAATTCAAACTCACATCAAACCTGTTGTTACAACCAACTCCAAAAGCTCCAACCTCATGAATCAATATTAAAGAATTTATTTTTATTTACACGAAAAAAGCCGGTCTTCTTGACTCCACTACCTAAGTCAACAGACCATGTTCAAAATCATGCGCTCTCGCTAGTTACCACTTCATAATGTCTCTCAGAGTCCGTTAAAGTTTGGACTCTGAGATTGTCTCTGGGGGTCTTAATGAATGAGAACAACTACTGGCGTCAGGTCTGCTACGTCTGCGCAACTTTCATTCAAACATTTATGTTGTGTTCTTGTGTGTGTTTGTTGTTGTTTGGAGCTCTTTGTTTGCGTTTGTGTTGTATGTACATTTCTTTTTTTGGCTATTGATCTTGGTCTTACGGTTTTTATAGAAGAGTGTGTGCAGGTTTGTGTGCGAGTATCTGTGAGTGTGTTTTAGCCATTTCAAGCTGCTCTTAACCATGCACTTTCTTGTTTTTATGTCTGCTAAAAGTCTATAACTTTATACTGTTGACTGACTGACTTACGGACTATTTGCTTGTTTGGCTTTTTTGTTGTTGGTGTTTTTTTCTTCTTGTTACAATAGAGGCCGAGATACTAAAGCTAAGAAGAACAACGGTGACAAGCAGCAACAACAACGACAACATCAAAGTATACACACGTACATAGATACTTTAACATACAGAGACAGAAACAGTAGCAGTTTTAAATACTTCTTTCTTGTATAGTTTGGTCTGATGTAGACAGTGAAGAATGGTTAAAAATCTTTTAGACCACAAACTAGGCGAATCAGTACGTTACATACTCTTAAAGCGTTTACTTCGTATCAACGGATAAATTAGGAAAAATTCAAATTAAAAAGAAACGGTAAACTATATGTTAATACAAAATGTAAACACAGCTTCATTTCAAGTAATTCTAATCAAATGATACATACCAACAATAAAAGTACGAAAGGATTTTATTTGTTTTTATCATTTATAAAAATAATAAAATACAAAAGCAAATAAAAGTGTGTTTGTGTTTTTGTGTGTGGATTGTGATCGGTGCCATTTAAGTGCAAATGCAAACAAAACTTAGATACAAATAAATATTTTATCATAAATAGAATCTCTAAAATGTCATATTTAATGCATGAATTGATTGATAAATAAATGTTAACATCAATATTTGATTTATAACAAATAAAACAAGAATAAATTTAAAAAATAACTTAATAAATAAATCTAAAAAATACTAACTTTCTCATAGACAGAATAAATTAAAAAAATCTTCCAAAAGCAGAAGATCGCCACAGGATATAAAATGTATGTATTTAAATGAACATGGATATATATTTTTATTAAATACACATATAATAAAAACATATAAATAAATAAATAAATAAATTCCCAAAAATAGTAAAACAAAAGGGCACTTAGTAAAAATCAACTCAATTTTTAATGGTAAAATTTTAGCATTTACATACTATAACTCTGGTTACGAAAAAAATGTGTCGACTATTACTGGAAAATTGACTCAAGACTAAATTACTTCTATTGCATAGTATAATACCATTATAAAGTACAGAAGAGAATTAGAGTATTAAAATCAATTCTCTCTTCCTGCTGGTTACTTGGGTCACTAAATTGAATTCGCTCTAAATTACAAAGGATACGTAAGTCTCAAATGTCACAAATATATGTACATATGTATATAAACTGAAACTGAATACCAGTAGAACTATTTCCGGCAATATTTAGTATAAAGAATAATTTATTTTTTAAACTTAGAATTATTCTAAACTTGTTTAAAAAACGTACATAAATTGCACTAAAAGTAAATAAAAAGGACCCGATATATTTTTTCATATTAGATCTCGATGAACCCAGAAATATTTAAATAATCTCTTTATAAAGAAATTTTCAATATTTATATTTCAATTGTAAAGTGTTTATTAGGTATTGACCCTATTTTATGGTCGATCCTAATTGCTTTTAAAGTAATAGATTTCAAATGAAAATTGGAAAATATTTGTATGTGTATTAAAACAACAAAAAATCTTTTTTTAAATTCTATGTAGACTCAAAAACTAATAGGAAGCTACATATGTACATTAGGGTGTCCCGTGGAATACCTTTCAAACGATACGTACTTAGTACATTAATACAAGAAAAATACAAAGCATCTTTTTCAATGAGTCTCCTACCAGCGATTGAAAATCCTGAGTACAATATATTTCGAAATCTTTTCGAAATGGGTATCAAAATTTCCTTAATTTTGAGCTTATCACGAGAACAATAATTACAATTTGTTTATATTTCTGGTCAGCAAAATTACTTTTACTGCATAATAAGGGGCATATAAATTCCAAAATGATCTAAAAAAAAGTTCTGAAATGGACCAAACCTATTGTCAAACAATTTTTCTAATATTTTTTTGTATAAACTATAAGTATTGAAATTTTTGACATCTATTTCGATAAAAGACGAAAAAAATGTGCCTCTCAAACCCACTAAAAATCATTTTGTGGACCAAAAATACTCTAATTACATAATTTTAAAAATTATATTAATTAATTTATCGAATGCTTTAAGAATTTTTTCCGGTTATGTTCTGTTTAAAAAATTAAAAAATTTGTTTCAAAAATTACCTGTTATGAATGAAATATACAAAAATATGCTCTAAAAAGTCGATACCAAAATTAGTTAAATTGTCTGAAATGGATAAAAAAAACTCATGTAACAACACGTCGCGCAGCAAAAGATACGTTATTGTATACTTTAGGATGTTCTGGCAATAACCCAGCAACAAAAATAAGGCAAAAGATGTAAAACTATCACCACAAATAACTACATACTGTCTGAATTACATAGAATGAGTAACAACTTACAAATAACATATTATGTAAGTACTTACTTTTCAGCCAACAAAAGAAAAAAATATTTTTTTGTGAAAACTAAAAATAGACACACGCCCACTGCGTAGACTATTTTTTTATCAGAAACAAAACTACTTACTTAACTACCTATTGGTAGGCGATCGTAGTAATAGTTACCTATCTCTCTATTGACCTAAAATGCTAATGTGTAAAATGCACTTTTACCATTTTAACCTCTCACTATTTAATTTGCTGGGATACTTGAAGTATTTTCAATTTTGGTGAAAAAACCAATGAATTTTACTTTAGCTTGTCATTGAACGGGTGTTGTTCGTTTTTGACAAATTCGAATAAAATCTAATCTTATTTTAGAATCATTAAAATAACACGCTTATTAAATATCATTGGTTTTTCAACAGTGACAATTCTACATCTTTTTCCTAACCCTAAAATATCTGGGTTTATATTTAAAGGAATTCTTGGATTATAGATGCGAAAAATATGTAATCACATTTTTAGATGTAAAGTATGATATTTTTTGAAGGCCTCATGAGGAGTGTTTTATTTAACTATTTATAAGATAGCTGAAATCGTTACCGATATTAATACGTCCTTTTATCAAAAGGCAACAAATTTCATTCCGATAACGTTAAATTAACTCAGGTATTGATTCTGAGTTCAACGATAGTTCCAAAAGTTGATTAAATGAATTAACATCGAAATGTAAATTAATTACTACTTCAAATTTCGTAACAAAATTTCAGAAATAATTATTTATAAACCAATGCTTTTGCAGAATATATTCATACATACGTACTATGTATGTATTACAAATGATTTAAAGAAACATTTCTTGACTATTTGGTAAAAAAAATTAATGCTTAAACAATTTAAAAATCTGGACCATAAGATACATACATACTTAAGTATATGTTATGTTTAAAAACAAATTGTGTTAAATATTATTATTACTCTTTTTTTATACAACTCGTTTATTTTCATGTTCAAAAGTTTCACTTTGCAAAACTCATTTAAACGTTAATGTGGTACATTATAGTAAGTGTTAATTTTGCTATGAGTTCTTACTATAAAACATACACACATATATTTGTATGTACAAATGTATGTGCATACATATAAATCCCACTACGAAATGCTCTAATTATTATTTTATATTCTATTCTATTTAATTATTTATCACAAATAAAGTGCTTCTTCGAAATAAGTAACGAATAGTATGTTGAACAGACATGTTATACCCGTATCTTCGTTGTTACTTAAATTGACTGTATTAAATCCAAAAGATTAAATAAATACATAATATGTACCTCTTATTCATCATTACATACACGGATTGGCTAAAGTTTGTCATGTAAAGAGTAATTATAAAATGTGGTTTAATTCATAACTGCAACGATTAATTTAATCCACAAAATAGGTACAATTGAAAAATAAAAAACTACAAAAAGTAAATCTTAAACATTTACAATATCATCCCAATAAAAACGTTTATTACCATGTAAGGGGTTAAAATGCTAAAATTTACTTATACAATAGCATTTTAAGTCATTACTTTAACACGGTGATGTCATTGGAGGCAAGTACTTACCACAAACAATTATAAGTAATTAGAAAAATTTAGTCATTGTAAATCGCATGAAAAAACGTATACAGCTTCTATATCTTCACTGGCAAGATGACTAATGAATTAGAAAGTATTTATATAACAAATTATCAGTAAGACCTTATTAGATTACTTCTATGTAATCCAGACGATATGTAGTAGTCATTGAAAAGTATGTTGTTTGGTAAGTAATTACAATTGAAAGTCGTTACCTAGTTTTTGCTGGGATAATTTATATTATAATTCAAATGTTAAGATAAATGCAACTTATAAATTTATATCGAATTACATCACTAATATTAATAACATGCATTTGATTAAAATACATTCTCTTTAAAATTTGTAAATTGCTTCCAATAAAAGTAACTTTTGTAACCTACTGTACCTGTTTTAAGACATTGAATTATTTATCTGTTTTTGTTCTTAATATTGTACAAGTATTTAGATCTTGTAAAACAATACATTATACAATTACTTCAACAAATAATTCAGGTAACATTATTATTTGGTATTTACAAGTTTCAAATGGAACAAAACGGTTTATAAAATCTTACATGAGTTTTATAATTTATCTCTTTTCTAAAATACTTTTAATAATAAACTCACTGGAACTCCATAAGATTTTTTCACATACACATGTACATACTGTTTATCTGCACAATTTTAATGACAGTGAAATATATTTATACATACATAAATATGTATGTATGTACATATGTATGTAGTATGTATATTGCACTAAATGTAATGTTAACCAGTTTTTTAAAGAGTGTTTTAAATAAGGGCATTTGAATTCCTTTTTCATTTTGATTTAGCTCATGGTATACATTTTTGTATAGAATTGTTAGAAATACACACAAATTTTTTATCAGACCTCGAGAACTATTATATTAAATGTGTCAAGAATTGTTAGTTCTTGAAAGAAAGAAAGCGGTTATATTGATGTTCTTATATTCTCACAATAACTTTTATCAAACTTCCAATTTTTCACATTTTCCCTATGAATATACTTTTTGAATTGTTTAAAAATCAGCTGTAGTTATTGAGATATTATCCGTTGAATTTGACGGAAGGACAGACATCGTTAAGTCGAATCAGAAAGAGATTTTGAGTCGATTGGAACATCCTCGGATAGGTGTGGATACAATATTTTTGTTCGTTACAAAGCATTATACCATCCTCACTTAGTAGTGTAGGGTATAAATAGCATGAATATACCGAAAACCTGGAGTTTTCAAGCTTTAGATAAAGATATCTTAAAGTATAAAGAAGATATGTCAGATGTTAATCCTTAATTTTAAAGCTGGCGTACAACATTTTATAAATGAAGTTGGCGCTCTTATAATGTCTCAAAAAGCGCAATTTTTTTTTCAATGTTCAGTATACGATATCTCAAATCCCAGATTCGGATTCAGCGCTAAATCCTTTAGAAACATCTAACTTGGTCTCAGGGTTTGGACATTTTAAAAATTTTGTCGACCTGTGTAATTAATCCAATTACTAAATACTTATGTATATGTAACTCAAGTACTTAGTAAGTATTCGTGTATCGTTTCCCTTAGCTAAACTTTTATTTCAATGACATCTTAACATTTTTTAATCCACACGATATATTCCATGAATTATATTCTTTTATAACTCTGTCTATAAATGATCCATAGCAGTAGAATAACTAAAAGAATGGCTCAGGTGCACACATTTATAACGATGTAAACGTTTTTAGTAGCGGCGCTTAATAACAAAACTGTTTAAAGACATAAACACAGATTTATGATTTCCTTCTGTGATGACTTTTAGTGTCATTAGTGACTATTAAAATAAATATATCTATCTACAGAATCGCAGTTTGTTGTCGTTTTTATAAATATGTAGATATATTTTTAATTGATAAAAAAATGCTCATGCATCTAGTAGATCTGCCCTTAAAAATTTGATTTGCTTTTGGTGATTTGAGTGAACCTTTCAATGAAAGTTTAAAGTCGAACAGATAACAAATCCCATTTAGAAACAAAACTACTTTTACTATTTCTTCATAATTATTTACTTAATTTAAAAACTTTAAATCGATTTCAGGTACATACAAAATTGGGCATATCTAAGAAAAATATGTTTTGAGGACAGGTCTAATACATACATAGAAAAATACACACACTTTATTCTAGAAAATCTTAGA